GGTCGTCAGGACAAACAGTGCCTCCCTGTGCTCATACCGTAGTGCTACTTATAGTTCGTGATCGCTTTGTTCGGGGAGGGGTCAAAAAACTTTCTGAAATTTGTACGTGCTCTTTGAATTTCAGGGAAGGCCGGACCAGATTTTGCGGGCATGATACAAATTTCGGGGCCCCTTCCAAAGTTTCGGGGCTTTTCAAACTGCAGCTTCCAGTCAGTCTCCCTCCACCGGGAACCCTTAGGCTCATGGTCTCTCACCATTTTCGCACTTTGGAAACGCCCTAGCAAATTCTGGACCGATCATACAATTCAGTACCAGTACCAACGACCTAATAACCAACCGGCCGGGCCAATACAGTGTTTGGGTGGTTGCTACTGAAACCAGGGGCCAGTGCGAACTGCAGCCGAGCCATGGTTGACCCGCGGATTTGTTGAAGAGGACGTCCAACAGGTCGAATGCCAGGCTGCGGCGTGAGCGCAAGCCTCGCCTCGCCGGCTGCCGTAGCATTGGCCGCATTGCGCTCGCGCCTAGCAACCTCCTCGTGCTCCATTCGCTCACGCTGGGCCTCGACAACAGCATCATCAAGCCTAACTGGTGCAAATCCAGCTCGGTCGCTCACCGGAATGTTAAGACCAGCAAAGCGCCGGACCCCCGTTGGGTCCTATTACTGTGGCTACCATTCACTGGTATATGAGTGTCGGTCATTTCCAACAGCGTTTGGTGCTAGCGGTTTCATCCCGCATTGAAGCAGGGTTACCTGTCTTGGACGTTTTCCAGCGTTGTTGATGTCCTACGTTTATGACTATATTTTATGTATTTAAGAGCTGATTTCCGCCTTGAACTCCTAGTTTTTGCGAAGTTTGATCGACCGGCTTCGGAGGGTACGATATTTCGGGGCTGCGGTCCCTTGGGATACCTTAGAATTTGTATGTGCTACATATTCGTGGTGCCTCCCGAATTATTGTAGCACGAACTATAAGTAGCACTACGGTATTGGCTGCCATACATTTTAACTAACATCATCATAACTTTTGACACACTCTGCGGGCATATCTGTGCCTAAATATCATACTTTCAAGGTTGCACATTTACCAAGCTTCTGGCGAGTAACCTGTCCAGACAACTGCCCCCTAGCTACTGAGCCTGACGAGTTACACGTCTCCGGACTGCCATAGGGCACCCTCACAGCCTAGCTCGACACACTAGGAGATTCCTACTAAGGAATACCGATCCATACAAAGATGAGATAGAAAAGCATACTCAACTCTTGCCTTGTGTTCATCCACCGTCCCTGGACCCGAGGAAACGTCCGAGAGACGCAGCCGAGTATCAGGCCGAGGCAAGGTCGAGGCACGGTCAAGGTGGGGATAGGACCACCCTTCAACACGCACGGCGCCATCCTGACGATGCCCAAACGTCCAGCATTAACCCCCAGATATGCATCAAGTTGCGGGGTAAGATTCCCACTTGTCTCACATAGACCTGGGGTCAAATCCCCTGTCTGACAATACTCAAGTTGGAGAAAGTACCAAACCTCTCAGTACCAGATACCTGTCAATAAAGACTACAGTATACTACCAATAACATGTTCAGCCAGGCGAAATATCATGTCTTATCCGTTACACACACCACACACAGCCACAAGGCTACATGGACAATCCTACAGGGTGTGGCTCCTGTGGGTGCTTCATACTGGGGCCCTGCCCAACAGGACTTCAATGTCAATAAATGTCAACCACATATCTGAATTGCTTTGCAACGTCTCAATGTGTTTTCCCACCTGAGCCATCCACATGCATATCAAAAGCTCTCCTCTCCAACCCACACCTTAGGTCACAGTTTGAATCATTGGCATTTTGTGTGGTCCTGTGATCCATCATGGTCCCCTTTTTGACACCCCTCAACCCCCTTGGCACCCTATGATCCCCTTGGCACCCCACAACCGCCTTCAGCACCCCCACAACCGCCTTTGGCACCTATGATCCTCTTCAGTCTGCATCATGACTCATTGCACCTATCCAACTGTCCAACCCACATATGTCTGACATGCTCTGTCCCCATGAACTGCACCTTCAGCTAACACACAAGTATGCTTGGCATAACAGGAGGACTGCACAGTACCAGTGCAGCATGATATCCTGACCAAGCAATTGTACACTAGTGACCATGACCCATTCAGCAATGGAAAGCACCCCACGACCCCCTGCAAGCCTGTCATATGCTGGTTGCGAGTTCAGCATCCCAGCTGACCATAGGTTAGCACAGGTTATCTGTTGGCCAGGCCAGGCTGCCCCCACTGCAACAAAACAGTATGCAGATCCACAGCTGGGGTAATGCCAACCTGGATGATTGTGGTACCGATGGACCCCTTAATAAGGCCCACCAGTTGTCCACGGCAGTCCAGGACAGGGCCTCCTGAGTAGCCGTTGTCTGCATGAGCGGTGATGGCCACCTGGCCCACTCTTGTGGATGACACCATGCCCTTGCTAAAGCTAGGGCTAGGAAAGAAAGTCGAAAAGCCGAAGGCGTAAACAATATCACCAGTGCTGCACAGATCACCGAGCAACGGGAGAGGTGCACGCCGGGAGCCACGCAGTATCGCAATGTCCGGGACATTGTTGGGCACATGGTTCACTAGCATCACATCCTCCTCAAAGCCGTCCTCGTAGCGCGCCCTGAACTTCTCTGCAGGTGGCCCCCTTCCCTGGGGCCCCACTCCACTGAAGCCGACGATGTGGCCGGCAGTAACAATGATCTCGGCAGCTTGACTATACAAAAAACCTGAGAATTCACCGGCTGGCGTGCCATCATTGCTTGCACCATAAATCTTGACAAGTAGCGGGCGGTACTTGATGAATATCTGTTTGTCGTGGTGCTGAATGGCAAGGTTAACATCTGCCGGGTTCACGTCCACCCCGATCTGCATTCTAGCCATATCAGAACTCATTATGGTAGATCTAATGTTAAGTTCAAACACGCACGGTGAGGTAATGCACAGTCTTGTACAGTAGAGAGCGGGCAGCTTAATCAGACGTCAAGATAATGTAACCTAAGATTTCAAGGCAAACATGTTGGAAGCTCCTGAAGCCATTAACACATTATAATATTCCTGAAAATGAAGTACGGCATTTTTGCAGTTCTCGAGGTTTTCGAGGTTCCTAGGCTCTCAAGGTTCTCGAGGTTTCCGAGGTTCCCGAGGTCCGCGAGGGTTCCGAGGTTTTCGAGGTCCGCGAGGTTCCCGAGGTTTTCGAGGTTCCCGAGGTTTTCGAGGTTCCCGAGGTTTTCGAGTTTTTCGAGGTTCCCGAGGTCCGCGAGGTTCCCGGCAACTTTGGAATGTGTAAAATATAACGGGCTGGGACACATGGAGGATTTTGTGCTCCTGCTAGACCCTGAAGAACCAGTTAACCGTGCTTAATCGTGTCAAAGTGAAGGGACCTTGATGTCGAAATCCACACCGAACGCCTAACCAAGGCCGATCTCACCTGCCGAACGCCTAACCAAGGCCGATCTCACCTGCTTTGAGCTCAGTTTGGCGTCACACTCAGGGAAACGGATAACCAAAAAGATATAAATTGGAAACATCCCTGTCCTTCACCCCCTGCTCATTCCCCCCAGCCTCCCGCGCTAATGACACTCGCACACACCATACCACACTACAATGTCGTTCCTTATCCCTGATGCCGGACGCTCAAAACCACCCTCGCCACCTGCTCTGCCTTCTAACGCTCTTCTCTCTTCCCAACAGACCTCACCAGCTCAGCAGCTCACACGTCTGGACCAATGTTCGATTCGCCGGCTTTCTTCACACACCTGTGGCAGCCCTCATGCACCTCCAAATTCTTACTGATTGCAGGAGCCACGCTGCAGCGCCTCGCTCGCGCCGTATCCACCATCCTTCACCTGAACACTTTTACCACGAACTACCAATGCCCCTACCCTCCTTTCCCTAGTCTCGTCTTGTCTGAGCCGGCCATAACCTTCTTCTCCCCCCAGACCCCCCCCACCTCCCTTCCCCTTGAAAACCCTTCCTCTTCTTAACCTTAACCACCCTTCCTTCCTCCCTCTGCACCTCCCCCCCCTGCACGCGTTCAGGTACCCCAAGAACCACCAAAAGGGCAAGGACCACCAAAAGGACCGAACAAGGAAAAATTAAGCTACCTGGAAGCGCGCCTCATCTCATGTGTGGAACGAGATGATGTCATATTGGCGACATGCAGTGGTCTGCATATGTGTGAATGTGCTGGACCGTGCCGCGGCTCATGAATCCCTCGCGGTGATCCTCCTCGCCCTCCGGGTCCTAGGTGGCTTTGCTCAGGCGCGCAGGTCCGGGGCGGTTTTGGTTGGATTGCCCCGGCGCCGTGAGATCGGACCCTGCTGCCCCATGTCCCGCCAGCCGCAGCCCCAGCCGCAGCCCCAGCTCAGACACGTCACTCTCTGGGCCGCTGCTGTATTCCTGAGTCGCATCGGGCTGGGCCCCTGACGGCGGCGGCAGCAGCGGGTGCACGTCGCCATACGATGGCACGTAGAAATGCTTCAGCCGTAGCACGGCACCAATCGGCAAATGGTCCTAGTGGGCGACGGGGGGGGAGAGAGGGCGTGTGTGCAGGACGGGGCCGAAGGGGGTAGGTACGATGAAGCACAGACGATTGACGAAAAGAAAAAACCATGGACGGATACTCCAAGACAAGACCAACACTGTAGGAGAAGAAGTATAGAGATAATGCGAAAGGGGGTAAAGCGTGAGGACTGGATTAAGGAATTAGACCTCGTTCTCGCACATATGTGATTTCTCCGTAGGGGTCTCAGCAGCACCGTCCGGGGCCGTCCAGGCCAGGGGTTGAAGTCCCGTCCTTGACTAAGTCAAAATTTGCCTTCTCCTTATCCTCCCGAGCGATGTGGACGAAGGCGGCGGAAGGCCGTCACACCTCGCCACCGCTTCTCCCTCGCCTCCTTCCTCGGGCGTCCCGCCACCCCAACCTCCTCTCCACTCCACGTCCCTCCAGTCGCACGGCACCAGACCAGACCAGACCAGACCCGCCAGCTCTGCGGACAGCTGAACTCACTCACTGAAGGGTAGTGCTGGTTGGGTAGTGCCTGATGCTCAATAAGGCCCTCGTGACGGCACTCCACCGGCCAGTACAGAGCCGCAACTTCCAACTGACATGATGCCCAGATGAAGTCCAGGGTAGAGGCCAGGGGGGGGACCTGGGGAGGTAAGGTGTGGACGTGTGTGTGGGGGGGGAACAGGGGGCGGGGGTTTTTAGGGGAGGGGAAGGGATTCTTGGGCAGGCGGGGACCAGGCAGGAAGGGTGCAGGGGTCGAGTGTTGCCGACAGCCTGATCTTTGTTAAACTAGGCAGAGGATACAGAACAGTCTCCTCGGTACACGTTACATAGATTAAGGGGTAGAGCGAAGGAAAAGGGCAAGTCCCTGCCATAAGTACAAGTGATGTCCCGGCCATATTAACTCGCTCCAGAGCCAGCAGCGGGATCTCTTTACGCTACGATACGCCGAAGTTCTGCATGAATTATCAACAAACTTGCAAAAGCCACAGATCCACTGAAAAATGGAGCTGTTCTTAGCTTAGGACCGTTTCCCCAATAACTAGTTGTAACTTCATAGCGTCAACTTATGATTTAGTTCCAGCTAAAAACATGATGTTGTGATTTTAAAGGACTGACCAATCAGTTTGCATTGGCCTTGTGGCCCCTTACGTAATCAAGAAGGCTTGCTGGAGCGAAGGGCTTGCTTAGTTGGGCGATCCAATTTGTGGCTGCACATAGTTAAACTTCTGGACGGCTCGCGACCGCCCCATGGTAAGTTGGCCAACGGTGGATTTAACCTCAGCCAATCCTGACCATGCCGGCAAACCATTTGTTGCTATATTTTGTTGTATTTATGGCAAGAAATGCATGGGAACGGTGCCAAACGATGGCTACATCTGACGGCAGCTTAGCACATGGAGAACCTCCGTGAAGGTGGCAGGGTAGCGGTGGACAGGAACTCACACTAAGGCTAAGGGGTATCCAGGGTGCCTACGTTTCAAAGTGCTGGGACAACAGG